TCTGTGTGAACTCCTTTGCCACTCTGGTGGGATGGTTTAACCCTATGGCTTAACTTGAGGCTGGTCCCCTTTAACCCTTTAATAACAGCAAAGCAGGGAACTAAAAAGTCTCTGACAACAACCCATCAAAGTTGGTTAAAAAACCCACCTAACCACCTGTCACAGATGCACACTACATCTAAGATCATATAATGCTTCTTAACTCGATCTAGTCATTGCTGTCAAGGAGCACCTTCCACAGACAAGACAACCCTTACAGACACCCCCATCCCGCAAACCTCTGCAATCCACAAGCACAATATCATCAACTGAAGCTATAAAACACTCTTTAAGAAAATAATTAGCACAACTGGAACAGAACCGTGTCTTTTTTGATACAAGACAGTGTTTGCATTGTTGTCTTCAAATTCAGGGATCTTCCCTTCTGACACCTTTCAAGGTGCTTATGGTTTATTTTACTTAAATTGTCACGGACGTGAATTACTCGCTTAAGGTTGTGTGGTTTCATTATGGTACCAGCAGAATGTTTCTATATTTTGATATGGGGTTTGTTCTGGGTTTTTTTCCTTGGTTTGGGTTTGGTTTTTTTTATCAATACAAATATAACTCGATCTGCATAAGGAATTCTTCCTAAAATAAGGAAAAGCTAGACATGCAAGGCTGTAGCAGATTTGTGCTACAGCACATAATGTGTCCTGACTGACTGAAATACGCCTCTGCCCCCATCCTTTCACCACACATCTGTACCCTGCAAAGCAAGATCTTGCTCTCTTTTCTTTCAATCTCACACAAGGACCCCAGTCTCTCCTGCCTGCACCAAGCCGATTCCCTCCCCCAGAAAAATATCACCATATCCCACTTCAGCACATTCATGCTTCCTGCCTCATCCTGCCTCTAGCCTGCTCCATCCTTCTGAGGCAGGAAGGCAGACTGCAAAACTGGGTACGATCCTGCAGCGGAGGCTGCGAGCAGCGCGGGCTACGGAGCCAGACCTGCTACTGGGTACTGCAGAAAATTCCTGCCGCCTGCAGGCGTGAAGGCCATGGGCCTGCAGCTCCGGCGAACACCCATGCAGAGAGAGAGGCAGGAGCTATCACAGTTGGGTACCACACTGGCATGATCCCAACAGCCACAGTTTGGGAATCTGGCACAAGAGCGTAGCTGCAGTGCTTTGAACTAGTGCTGCAGAACACTCTAATAACCCCTGCATGTGGGCACATGTGCAGGGACAGTAACTCGGTGATTCCTGAACTACAGTTATAACAAATTGTCTCCGACATGCTAGCAACTATCGACAAGCTTCCAGAAACGACTCCTGAATTTCACGGCAAATGCCTACTAAAATTAGCAGAAATTATTTTGAGTTGAAATGAAACACAGTTCTTTCCAAAGCATCTGCAAGTCTCTGTAGAAATAATGCAGTTCCACTATTGTCACACAACGAGGACTACACTAGAATATTCTGCGCTGTGACTTAAAATTCCTGTGTAGTTGGGCTCCTGGGATGAATCAAAGCAACCTGGGTTAAAGCTCAGAACAAGCAGTGTTACCAAAATAAGCCATCGCAGTCACATACACTAAGGCACTTAAAGAAGTGACCCTCTGAAACAGCTTCTGGGTCCCCTCGGGCTTTGCAGACACTGCTGGAGCAGCATCCCATTCCGCTCCCCCTGGCTCTCCAGATGACCCTTGGACCACCAATAAACCTCACCGACTCCATTTCCAGATCTGAAGTACAAAGTAGGCTACTTTACTACCTTGTGGTAACAAAAATGCACTGTTGATGCTCTGCAGTAATTGAAATACATTGAGACCATCGTTTACATTTGTGAAGCTCCTTATTTGTCACATTTTTCTGCTACCAAAAGCCGCGGGCACAAGCTGGGCAACTCGTGCCTCCTGTCTCGGTGCTGCAGTCCCACGGTCCCACACATCCCAGCATCGTGCAATGTGAGGACACATCCTGCCAGAGAAACTTTCCCGGGGTGCTAGACAGCAAGCTTCCACTCAGTAAAGCTCTTTCATTTTACTAAATTTCACCTCCATAAATAAAGACTCTATTCTAACTTTCTTGCTGAGGCCGGAGCTGGGAAAATATCCAACATCAACAGAAAATACAGAGCTGACTAGTATTCTGAAGCAGGCTGGCTACTCGCCAGCTAGAGTATAAACATGAGAGATCATGAAGCTCCTGTAACCATCTTCTTTATTTCCACCCAGGTATGTTTACTGGGCTTGTTAATACACACAGTGCGGCAACTGTCTTCCTACGCAGTTAGAAACTGGAGCACATTAAGAGAATTTGGATAGTTCTCTACAGGAGTTGCAAACTAAATGGTTATCAATATACCATAAAGTTTTACGAGCAAGTAATTTGCGTCTTCACCAAGAAGAAAAAAAAAATCCCCCTAAAGCCTACTTCAGAGCAATCTGGGAAACTGCCAAGAGAAAGTCAGTTAAGCGATGTTTAAACTTGCACGTTTTGGATAGAGATTATATATTAAAAAGCAGAATGTACGTTAGAAAACCTGCTTCTGCCCAAGTTCTTTGTTTCAGAAGGTCACAGCCACTCAGGAGCTTTACATCCATTTTTGACACAAATTCCTCTAGAAAAAGAAATCACCTTTTTTTTTTTTACCTTTTCTTTTTTTTTTTAATTAATAAAGCAATCATGCTGACACATTTCCATGCTCACATCGAAAATTCAGAGAACTAGTCCTACGTTCCTTTGCCAGAAGGTGCTCTCTGCATTAGTAGGGGATATGCATAATTACACTGTAATTTTACAGGTGATGCTGAAAGTTTTCCTGAAATTTGTTAACAGGACAGAAATGCATTCTGGTGAAGTGAATAAATTACTCAGGAAAAATTCTTTACATTTCTCACCACACTTGTCTCAAAACCCTGCCAATTCCAACAGGTGATTTGGGAATGCAGACAGCTATCCTTCCTGGGAACAGAAAAGGGACAACCCAAAGCCTGATCCATGTCAGTGGAAGAAAACGAAAATAAAACAACATTTTTCTGAACTTCTGATCCTGATGACTTGCAGACTGGATTCGCCCACCATATTTTTAACAGCTATTTTGAAATGTTCAATTTGGTTTCCCTCAGATTAAAAAAGTAACACATAGCTCACTACTTATTAATCCAAATTCCTCTTTTTTACCTTCCTAAAATTGATAGTTTATCACTTACTTATGAAGAATAAAGCTCAGAAACACTTTAAACTGTTACTATTATATTTTAATGACAGTGATGTTATGTCAAGTGATTATACTGGTTACATTATAAAATATTGCATAATCGTTCAATATTTTTTTCAACAACTAAAATGTCTGGTTTTTTAGTGGCTCTAAAATTATATTATCTCTGATCATACTAAAAATACACCAACTTAAAAACCAGAGAGCTGCTGGTTTAATTTATGCATTTATTATTTTTCCCCTTCTCTTTTACATATAAAGTTATCATCAAACCAGCAACTGGAGATTTAACATTTTAAACTTTAATTAGAGAATAAACATTACTCTAAACAAGCAGTTTTAAAAGCACACTCATTGGAAACAAAACGGATGATTCGTAGACAATGAAAGTGTTTACGAAGTACCTTCTTTTTTTTGGCATCACAGAAACACTGGAAGCCAGGAAGGAGTTCTGTTTTGCTTTTTAAAATAATTATGAAAGGGTTATTCGCATCACGTAACTTGAAGGATTTTCATGACAACGCCTGGCGTTTGCAGGGAGCAGGCTGCGGCCCCTGCACCAAAGTGCTCTCTCTTCCACACGCAGACCAACACACGGGGCGGTCTGGGAAAGAGCCGTCAGTGGAAACCTGCATCTCTCCTACCCTCGGTGTCCAACAACCGGGAGAAGCCCAGGCCAGCTCG